GTAGGCTTATATTCTGGAATATATCTCCAAAGTGTGCAAAGATGCCCATTGTAGCCTTCAGTGGGTTCATAGCCTTAAGCTGACTAACACTGCTTAAGGTGAAACCCACATCTGCCCCACGTTCTGGGGGAAGCTGAGGAATGTCATGTAGGACTGCAAGAAGCAAGAATGGCACCACAAACCTAAGGAATCTGGAGATGGGTCAGGGACTAGTGGCACAAGGACCCAGAAAGTAAGACAAAAGATGAGAAACTTAGTGATTAAAATATGCATTAAGGAGACTTGAATTGACAAAGCTGTAGAAAAATGAAAGCTCACTGAGACTTAGAAAATTGTTCAGACTGAACCTGTCTTTTTGTAACGGGAGAGTGACTTGTGATCATAAAAAAAGGAGGACAATAGAACTGACCTCTCAAGATTGCTGTGAAGTTCAGTGAAAGAATATATGCAAACCATAGGTATCGATTTTGCATAAGAGTAAGTGCTTAACAAATGTTTGCTCACTCATGAGTGACAGAACCAGGGTAAGTCTTCTAATTGAGAGGCAAGTGCTCCTCTAGGCTGCCAGGAGTTCCAAGTACAGTCCTGCGCTGCATAAGAACATTTGGTGGCAGAGACACACATAGTGATGGTCCCACTAAACAGTGCCTGTCACCTAATGAGCTTCTTTTTTTAAACTTGAAAATCTTATTTATTAGTGCTTATTAATTACACAAAATATTGAGTGGCATGTATATACTTTGATCATATTCATTCTCCCATTGCCCTCTCTTATACTCTTTTCCCTCTTCCGTATTCCCTTCTTCTCAGCTAATAATACTCTCCATCTACTTTCACGTCATGTTTTTTAAAGTCCACATATTAAGAAGCACATGTGATACTTATTTTTCAGATTCTGGCTCATTTCACTTAGTGATCTTATAATGTCATAAAAGAATGTATTACTCACATGTTTGAAGTAATGCCAACATAAACAAATCATTGCTCTACAGTTGCATAAAGCTACAAAGATACAACATGTACAATACAGAATACTTGATCATGACAAGAAAATAACTACGTTCCTGGTTTATACAGCCATAATACAGTTCCAGGAAGGCCCTGAAGGAGGGGTCCAGAGGCAACAACTCCCTGTGCACTATTGCCCCTGAAGACCTTCCAGTGATGCAGGATGTGATGGTAGAAGATCAGGGTCCTGAGGACACCTAGGCTACCCTGTGTGTTTGTATCTTCATTTATGTGTGTTTGTGCTTCGCTTTATAAAGAAAAACAAAGTTTAAAAAGTACAAAAAAGACCTTAAAAATAGATAAAAGTAGAACAAAAATTTAAAAATTGATATAGCTATACAATGTGTTTGTGCTTTAAACTAAGTGTTAGCACAAAAGAGTCCAAAAGTTTTTAAAAATTGAATGGCTTATACAGTAAAAGAGTTGCAGTAGGTTAAGGTTAATTTATTATGGAAGACAGAAAAGACTTTTATAAATTTAGCATAGCCAAGGTGAACAGTGTTCATAAAGTGGGGTGTAGGATACACGAAGGGCGTGGGCCTTCCCGTTCACTCCACTCACTCCAGAGTCACCCACAGCAACTGCAAGTCCTACAAGCTCCATGCACGGCAAATGACCCACACGGTGCACCATTTCACCCTCTACATCATATTTTTACTGTTCTTAGATACACAAAAACTGAGAACTGTATTACAACTGCCTACAGTATTCAGTACAGCAACAACCTGTACAGATTTGCAGCCTAGGAGCAGTAGGTTACGCCATCTAATTTAGATCTATAGTAGACTAAAACATTTAAAGTTCATTCTATGACATTTGCACAATAAAATCACCGACAGATGCATTCCTTAAGTATTCTTGCTGATAAGTGACACATGATAATGTATGTTTACGTGAACATATGTATGTACGTTCATATATGTCTACATCTGCATCTATTTGTATATGCATATCTATAAACATATAAACACACAGACACACTGATTTACTCTCACCCTGTGGTAAAAACTACTAATGAATCCAAATTCTACTTCTTTCACAGGCTAGTATTCGTCCTTATCCTTTTAGGGCCCACGTTAGGCTGGGCCCTAAGATTCCTTAGAGCCCGTGAAATATGAGTAGAGGTGATATGTGTCTTTCTCAAAGATTTGTGTCTTTCTCAAGCAGATGCATTTAAGAAGCAAGCTCAAGTCTCCAATTTTTTTGCCTTGGCAAACAATATAGAAGCAAACCCTAACGGGTAGATGCCATGGAAAATGGAAGGAACATGGACTGGAGTCCATTGACACAGAACATGGTCCCCTCAAGAACCAACAAACCCTCCCACTGATTTGATTTGAGTAACAAATACACTTCTGTTGCATTAAGCCCCTGAGATTTTGTTACTGTAGCAAAACCTCACATATCCTGGATATTGTAAAGCATTATGTGCAAGACCAAGAATACAAAGCTGACGTTGAAATGATGGAGCCAAGATGACAGCGAAACACAAGAACAACTGACACGCCGGCCTCCTGCTGTCTCTGTGGTGTTCATCCCTCTGAAGTATTCCTCGCATCCTTACCCGCGCTGGAAACGGTGCCTGTCATCAAGAAAAGCTGCTGTGTGGCTCATGAAAACAGTCTTGTACACAAGTTTAAAAACCATAAATTACCTAACCTTTCAGCATCTAGCAAAATCTTCCCTACTTCACCTGCCAAGTCTGAGATAGATGTAGAGGCAGGAAATCTCGGTAAATTGCAACATTAAGTACCATCACAAATAATCACTTTTCACAAATAATTCAACCTGCGTAGGACTTGCATAGGCTCTGGAAGACCTGAAAATATTAGCAAAGCAGGGAGAGTTGCATATAAAGACGTTTTTTCAAATCCCAGATTATTCACCATATTGCCAAAATATGAATGTGCGTCATTAATACAATTGTCAGCGTTTCAGGTGGGTGATGAAATTCTCTTTGAATCTGTGATTTTATGTCTGCTCACAGAGTAGCTGTCCATGCTTTTCTCCCCTCTAGGCCTGTGTAAAACAGACAGGATCCATCTTTTATCCCTTGTAACTGTGCTGTACAGGATGAGATATTGAAGTTCTAACCTCACAGCAGTGGCTTCCAGGCCCAGCACTTGGTGGTAAGAAGCAGACTAAAGAAAAGATGCATTTCTGGGTGGATAAGCCAGTGATGTTGTGACACATGGACTGCCAAAAAATTAAAAAGCTTTCTGCAGGAGGACAAGTTTGGGAGACTGCCTTCCGGAGACTAGGGACACGAGAATTGCCATGCTTTGATTCTAAAGTTCTTTTAAAGTGCATGGCAGCAGACCAGAATAGTTCAAAGCAGACCCAAAATGGAAGGATAAAATGAAGGTGAATGTGAATGAAGGGGAGAAAGAGGAAGAGAACAGAGTGAAACATACACAGATGATGGCTCCAGTGACCCTGGGGCAAGGCACAGAAGAAAAAAGGGTGAGCTCGTGCCTTTCTGGCTACATCTGCTGGCTGCCTGGGCTTCCAGCTCTCCTTTCCTGTCCAGAGTTCTTGGTTGACCCCGGGTCCCGGCACCAGTTCTGATGTCATCTCTGGGAAGGACCACAAGAAAGCGAGAGCCTCTGTGTTTACAGGATAGACGTTTGTTGTCTAAAGAAAATTTTGTAGGCAAGCACAGTTTATTACAATTCTATAAAGTGTAGGAAGACTGACAATGCTGTATGAAAAGTGTGTATTCATATGTATGAATCTGGTTTAGCTCCTTCAGCTTTATCTCACACACACACACACACACACACACACACACAATTTTCTTCATTGGGCTATGATGCATAGTCTCTCTGGCATTCTAGAAAAACTCCAACTGACTAAACTGATTAGAATGATCATTTTAATTCCATTAACTCACCACAGCAACACATGCAATTATCAACCTAATCAAAATGGTAATACTACGATTAATATTGTAAACTTCATTATCTAGAACCTGGGACGGTTTTTGATCTACTGTTATTTCACCAATGGGTATGCTGAGGCCTGACAATATAAGTGATATAAGTGACTTATCCAGGGCCACAGGGTGACTCAGAGACAGAAGGCAGGATGACACAAATTGACTAAGAACTTCTATCACAAGGAAGTTTTCAGCTTGTAGTTTTAGCGAGGCAAATTTTCAGCAGTAATATTTTAAAACAAACTGTTTTCTCTAAAGCAGTCCTGCTTGTCTTCCGCCTTTAGCTGTCTTATGTCATTTAAGGAGTTTTCTGTTTTCTTCTTCACCTGAAAATATGATTCTGAAACAACTCTTGTCGACCCTCCAAAAACTTGCAAATCTCAGGGCCCCAAACAGAATTCCCTTTCTTTTTGCATATTTTAATTTCTTGAGGTTTTGTTTTGTTTTTGTTGTTTGCTATATGATGGTGTGTTTTTGTTTAGTCTAACTCAGAAGGAGTAGGCTACTTTACACTCTGACAATTATATTTACTAGTCACAGACCTTTTTCTATTCTATGTACTTAGCACTTCAAATACTTGTTTCAGGTTAATGCATGCTAATTTTGGATTGTATGTGAAAACTACTGAAACTCTGGGGAAAAAAATCAGCTATCATCCAAAACCCGTGAGATCACATCCAACTCCCAGGTTTTATGTATATACTTATTAAGTGCTGAAGCTAATGCTGTATAAACAGGTCACTCTTTGCTCTCCACCCTTTTCGTCTAAGAACGAGGTGAAGATTAAATGCCGAATCTGAGTTTCTCGGCGTGTATAAATCTCTCGATTTAAAGAGTCGCCTCAGAGCTGGAAGAAGGCGATGACCCTATCGCGCAAGGCGGGCACTACCCGGCGGGTCACTGAGGACCGCATTCTGTTCTCCGATAAATCATCGGCAGTTTCCGACTCTGGCCGGAGCCGCGGCCTGCCTCGCTGGAGCCGCCAGAGGGCGCTGTGGCCCCGATGCGCGGCCCCGACCCCGCGGCGCGTACCCTCCCCCGGCGTTCCCGGCACCGCCCTGTCCCGGCGTCCTTTGCGGGTAAACAGACATGGGCGACGAGGGGGACCCTCAGGACGCTGCGCACAACATGGGCAACCACCTGCCGCTGCTGCCCGGTAACGTCCCGCGGGGCCAGTCCCCGGCAGCGGGTGGGGGGCGAGGCCCAGCGCCGCTCGCTGCGCGGCGGGGCCGGG